GTCTTTGATGTCCTGTTTTCAAATTTGCGACATTCTTTAGAACTAAAGGAAATATACATTCTAATTAAAGGATTCACAGCAGATGTCTGAAATGACCTTTTGCTATGTAGTCCTAAATATACAGTGTCAAGACGAGAAAGATTCTCATTAATTTGATTAATCTGGCATCGAGCCGCCCTTTGACAAGTCAATATCATAAAAATATCCAAAGAAGAATTAAATGTGGGGAAAGCATGTGTGCTCTTCATTTCTGAAAAACGTACTTTTAAAGTGGAATTAACTAAATCTCATTTATACTCATCAGAATAATGTTTTTATATATATATATATATATATATATATATAAGATACAAAAGTTCCTTGCACTCACGCTTGATATGATAAACTGTGCCTTATGAGGCTCGCCGGGTGCCAGTCCTTTAGGGATGTTAAATGTAGTTAGTAGACCACTTGATCCTGAGGAAGGTCCCTGTGTGGACCGAAACGTTGATTGTCTTCTACTTTTTGGTATACCACTTTATCCTGAGGAAGGTCCCTGTGTGGACCGAAACGTTGATTGTCTTCTACTTTTTGATGGAATAAAACACCACTTTTGAATTCTTGACTTGTCAAAGGGCGGCTCGATGCCAGATTAATCAAATTAATGAGAATCTTTCTCGTCTTGACACTGTATATTTAGGTATACCACTTGATCCTGAGGAAGGTCCCTGTGTGGACCGAAACGTTGATTGTCTTCTACTTTTTGATGGAATAAAACACCACTTTTGAATTCTTAAGTCCGTGAGTGCAGCCTGCTTTTCTCTACTAACTATATATATATATATATACTGGTGTTCTAAAGTTTGGGGTCACTCAGGAATCTACTTATTGTCCATGAAAGCTCTCAGTATAAATAGGAAATATAGTCATTGACAAGATTAGAAATATAGAATTTTATGAGAAATAATTGTGTCTTTCAAACTTTGCTTTCGTTAAAACTGGATCCCACAAGCTGGATTGGCTTGATGAACACCTCTTTATGTGCCATATGGTCAAACTGCTCCTCAATAGGGTTGAGATCTGGTGACTGTGCTGGCCACTCCATTAAATCCAGAATACCAGCTTACTGCTTCTAAATAGTTCTTGCATAGTTTGGACCTGTGCTTTTCGGGTTGTAGGAGGAACCTGGCTCCAATCATGCCCCATCCACATGTTGCAAAATGGAGTTACAGCCTTCTGCCTTCAATGGCCCTTTTAGTCTGCACAAATATCCCACTCTTTCATTGCTAATGCACTCTTATGGCATTGGTAAAGGTAAAGTGAACATTGGCTCCAAAATGCTAATGCTATAAAGCACTTATCCAGCATATTTTCATCTGGTCTACATCTTATGAATGTTCTTGTTTGTGATCCAAATACCTCAAGCTTAGATTTGTCCAAAACACTTTTTCAAATATTTTTCTGTCCAGTTATAAAGCACACAGCAATATGGTTCAGTACTGAAAAGGGTACTGGTAGATAAAAGGTGGCAGCTCATACAACCTGCACACGTCTGGACAGTGATCTCAGATGTCCCACCTGGTATCTGTTAAATCCATTCCCCCAACTTGGAGGTCTGAGCCCTGAGTACTCTTATCACAACTGGGATTACTATTTCACTTTCCAGCTCCTCTTCCAGTCATTGATATTTGTCCATCTTCTCATGTTCATTCTTCCTGATGTTATAGTCACAGGGTATTGCCACACCCACCACCACTTCAGTCCTCTGTTCATTATCTAACACCACAAAGTCAGGCTGGTTGGCATGTACTTGCTTCTATGTCTGGAACTGGAAGTCCCACAGGATCTTAGCTCTGTCATTCTAAACTACCCTTTGCAGTATCTCCCATCTGGACATAGGCAGGTCCAGTCCATATTCTGAGCAGATGTCTCGGCACACAATCCCAGTAACTTGGCTGTGCCTCTCAGTGTATGATGTTCCTTCTAACATCATGTACCTGGCTACTATGTGATATTGTGTCAGAGGCCTCTTAGCACAATCTGCACCTTGGGTCTTATCTGGAGTGGCAGTTCATCTTTGGGAGCCATCTTCATGATGTACTTGTGGATGCTCTGTGTTTCATCCAGGACTGTGGCCTTGACACTCATCAGAACCCGACCTCCATCCTTCGGGCTGGTGTGCAGTCTCTGAGTGCTGGATTTTGGGTGAAATCCTCCATTCATAGTGAGTAGCTCAGGTGTTAATAGGACTATATTTACCACAAGGCAAACAAGGCATTTGATTAGGGCGGCACTTTCAGGGGGCGCCAAAATCACCACCCCAAGCTCCCAAGCAAATGCCTTGTTTGCCTCATCCTCGGGCTGTCCTTCTTATGCCCCTCCTCCCCCGAGGTGTTAAACTACTAATATTCTATCCAGGCGGCAAGAAAGCGCTGTCCTCCACTCTTCTTGCTCTCTCACACTCTGTGAGTGAGTTTAGCTGTCAGTGCGTGTGAATCTGTCAGTGTGTGTCTGTTAGTGAGTGAAAGTGTGTGTCTGTCAGAGTGTGTCAAATCAGTGAGGATGGTATGTCTCTGAGTGTGTGTCAGTGTGTGTCTGTCATTTTATGTGTATGAGGGTGTGTGTCTGTCAGTGAGTGGGTGTGTCAGTGTGTGTCTGTCAGTGAAAGTGTGTGTTGGTTAAACAGTGTATGTGCCAATGACTACGTGTCTGCAATTGAGTGTATGTTAGTGCATGTATCAATGAGGGCCTGTGTTTGTCAGTCAAAAAAGTGGGCTTGACACGAATTGGGGGGGCAAATTTAGATTTGGGGGTGCCCGAATTTAGTTGTGCCTAGGGCAGCACAAAATACATCACTGGGTGTTGACATGCAAGGTTACCAACTCTTCTCTTGACCAGGTTATTATTCCAGCTGGGTACCTTACGACTGTTAGGACACGTGCTGATATATGTGCATTATTTTAAACTATTTGGATTTCACTTGTTTTATGAAGCAGTACCCCTCTTACCCAATCGTTTTAACAGCCTGTGATTGAAGACCACTTACAATTTCTATCCTTTTGCTCATCACTATTGAAAATTGTCTTCTGGCCCTAAAATGATGTGAAAAACACATATGGTGCATTTTTCTATTTTCTAAACTTATGTTCTTCATTAATATCAACAAATATTATTTCAGCAAAAAGAAAAATTGTGGCTACTTTGGAATAAAATTCTGCCTGAGAAAAATAAAAGGATATAATGATAACATTATGTGCTATATTTTTATTCCAGGAAATTATTCCTGAATATTCTGAAAAAAAGATATTAACCCTCCGAGTTCTAGTATTTTTCCCCAATGCATTTGCATTACACTATAGAATATATTGTTTATATTGCACCATGTATTATGGGAAATAGTACCATCAGAAAGTTCTGAAATTATCATCACAAACCGAGAGCATGAATATCGAGTCATTTAGAAATGTCTTCAGGACACCGGGATGGCAATATTTCCCCCGATACATACTTTGACATTTCAGATTTTTTATAAGACATGATATTTTTAGGCTAGGGTCAGTCTGTTAGGCTTGGAGTAAGGGTTAGTTTAGGGCTGGGGGGCTAGAGTTAGCAATAGATATAAAGGCCCTGTTACCACGGTAATGTAGAGGTCAAGGGGATACTGGAACATGTCAAATTAGTTATAGTTATAAAATCCAAGATGGCAGCTGTTTCAGTGAGTTGAGTTAAAAGATTGAACCTGCCACTCTGAAGTGTAACTCTCACTAATCCCAGGCAGACCTTGACATCTATATGGCCAGGGGATAATTGCATAGATGACATTACCATCTGTGTACTATGGGTTTGTAAAACATGAAGTAGGCAGATCATAAAATATATATTTATTAAAAACAAGCTGCGGCAGAGATAATGTAACAGAAGGAAGAGGTTGATGTGTGCCTTGTGCCTTCCTTAATACACATCTTCAACTGCTCTCTTTCTCTCTTCTGGCATTGTCCCTGCTGACCTTAAACATGCTACTGTAGTACCTATCCTGAAAAAAAACATCTCCCGACCATCCCTCCCCACCCACCCCCTAACTATCATCCCATATCCCTGCTCCCTTTTTCCTCAAAGCTTCTGGAAAGACTTGTCTTGACCCATATGTCTCACCTCTTCAATTCCGACTCTCTCAGTGGCTTACATACTGTGGTCGCCTGTGACCAGGTATCCGCCGCCATCATCTTCTGCGGCCCTGGCCCGAGCGGCAAACCGCCGGGGCCGCCATCCAAGGGGTCCATCGGGTGGCCCATGCTGTCAGGGCCACCCGATGGAGATGGATTGTCAGGGGGCCCAGTAAGCTCTGGGAGCTTAAACAGCGCGACCAGGCCCCCTGTGATGACATCACAAACTGGGAGGAAGTGACCGCACATCACTCCTCTCAGCTAACACTGAGAGTCGCACGGGAGGATGCAGAGGGAGTCAGAGTGGGAACTCTGACTCCCATTCACCTGAGCCACCACTGGACCCCAGGGAAAGTCACCTTCCTGCACCTTACAGGTAGGAAACAGGAGGGTGAAAAACATTTTGTGTATGTATGTGTGTCTGTATGTGTGTGCCTGTCTGTCTGTATGTATGTGTGTCTGTCTGTGTGTGTCTGCCTGTTTGTATGTATATGTGTGTGTGTGCCTGTCTGTGTATGTGCTTGTCTGTTTTTATGTATGTATGTGTGTCTTGTGTGTGTGTGTGTGTGTCTGTCTGTATGTGTGTGTGTCTGCCTGTTTTTTGTATGTGCTTGTCTGTTTGTATGTATGTATGTGCGTCTTGTGTGTGTCTGTGTCTGTCTGTCTATATGTGTCTGCCTGTGTGTATGTGTGCCTGTCTGTTTTTTATGTATGTGTCTTTGTATGTATGTGTGTCTTGTGTGTGTCTGTCTGTCTGTATGTGTGTGTCTGTATGTGTGCCTGTCTGTACGTATGTGTGCCTGTCTGTATGTGTGTGTGTGTGTGTCTGTATGTGTGCCTGTCTGTTTGTATGTATGTGTCTGTGTTCCTGTCTGTGTGTGTCGGTCTGTATGTATGTCTGTGTGTGTCTGTCTGTATGTATATATGTGTGCCTGTTTGTATGTAAATGTCTGTGTGTATGTGTCTATGTGTGTGTGTCTTATGTATGTGTGTGTGTGTCTGTCGCAGGGAATAAGGAGGGGAGGGGGCCCATAGGTCATTTTTGCACCGGGGACCCATGGTTTGTGTGTACGCCACTGAGACTGGATGTCCTCCCGATTTCTGAAATTAAGTCTCTCTAAAACTGAGCTCCTTGTCTTTCCTCCTCCTAATACTGATCCTCCTCTTTCGCTTTCCCTTAAAGTCAGTGGTATACACATCAGTCCATCTTTGCAAGCTGTCTTAGCATCATACTTGATTCTGGCCTCACCTTTGAGCCTCACATCCAGCATGTTGACAAATCCTGTAGATTCCATCTTAAAAACATAGCCCGCATCCGCCCCTTTCTTACGCAAGATGCTACTAAGGAGCTTGTCCATGCTCTAGTAATTTCCCACATGGATTATGGTAACCCTCTCCTAATTGGTCTTCCCAACACCGTATTGCCCCGCTACAGACTGTAACGAATGCTGCCGCCAGACTGATTTTCCTCTCTAGTCGGTTCTCTCACACCTCACCCCTCTGTCAGTCCTTACATTGGCTTCCTGTATCCTATAGGAGTCAATTCAAAGTACTAACCCATACCTATAAAGCACTGAATAATCTTAGCCCCTCTTATATCTCTTCACAGATCCATAGGTATGGCCCTCTGCCAGTGACCATTTATAAAACAGTCTGCCAATTTCTTTACAGTAGTTATTGTAACATTCTGTGTTTTGTGTTTGCCTTTGTAAATAGTTCATCAGTTTGACGCACGTTAGTCAAAAATACAGTAAATAGGTTGTAATTTCCTGTTATTTTCTTAAATAAACCCCCCATATTCATACACTTTACCATGTTACATGAATACACCCCTTCATTCATAAACTCTGCTACTCTACACAAATATACACAAACATTCACACACACTGCTACTCTACACAAATAGAAACAAACATTCACACGCTGCTACTCTACACAAATAGAAACAAACATTCACACGCTGCTACTCTACACAAATATAAACAAACATTCACACACACACACACTGTTGCGCTACACAAATATACCCAAGCATTCCCACAATGCCATGCTGCACAAATATACCCGAACATTCAAACATACAACCATGCTACGCAAACATACCCAAACACTCACACACACTACTACGCTATGCTACATTCACACACTGTCATGCTACACAAATATACACAAACATTCACACACTGCCATGCTATACAAATATCCCCAAACATTCACACACTACTACGCTACACAAATATAACCAAACATTCACACACACTGCTACACTACACAAATATACTCAAACATTCACACACACTGCCATGCTACACAAATATACCCAACTGTCCACACACACTGCTACGCTACACAAATATACCCAAACATTCACACACTGCCATGCTTCACAAATATACCCAAACATTCACACACACTGCCATGCTACACAAATACACCCATACTACATAAAAGGGTATTTTAAACAGTATCAGATGGTTTGGAGTCACATGCTTAAAGTGGGCTGCTCTGTGCTATAACTACCAGGCCTATTTGTAGTCCCAGTCAGCAGTGTTTAAATAGTGAGTGTGGTTTGTAAGGTATGTGAGCATTTTATGGACAATGTTTGGGGAGGAACCTGTGTTCTTGAGCATTGAAACATGAATAGATGACTTTCATTTTTCAAGTCCAAATAATGTCTTGTAGCTGGGGGGGGGGCCCAGATTACTTCAGCAATAATTTAACCAGTGTCATTTCCCCAGTTTATTAAGTGAATGAGATATATCAGTGATTATTCCAAGACAAAGTAATAATTTATTCTTGATTGCTACTGAATCAGATTCCCCACAGGCTTTCGTCATTCTGAATCATTCTCTTACTAAAGTGCTGACCACACACAGTGTGGAGCTCAGAGCAATCCTTCCATTACTGGGCATTGTGTGACCAGCCAAACATTAGGAAGGGTGAATGCTTGTAGACACCGCAGGTCTCCTGTGATTGGTCCAATACCTAATGACATCATGAAATTGTCACTGTGATGTGACCAAACATCTGCATTTGGCCAATCTCTTTCAATAAAATTGGTCACATCTAATGATCTAGTGTGGGGTGTTACATTCATCAGATAACACAGGTAGACCGATGAGTCGAACAATAGCAGCCTCTCCCAGTAAACATGGAAAAGGGCCTCACTCGTAGACAGAAAGGATTTGCTAATCCCATGCTAAGGGTCAGTGTATACAGAAATTAAAGTTCATGTTAAAATGAGTATATCGTGAGTACTGCCATTTCATGTTACTTTATTCCAAAGACAATTTTACATCGTATGGAAGAGTACTTTCTCATTGTGGGTTAATAGTTTGTAATACATACTTGCTACAGTTTAATATATGAGTAAAAAACACAAATTGCGAGCACATTGCATTATGTTGTGAATTAAGAATGTTTCTCAGTGTCTGTCTCATGCTGTTTTATAATTCTGTTTCTTTTATCCTGTATTTAGCTCATATTCCCTCAGTCTCATCAACAGTATTGGATTATCTGTTATTCTGTTAACCCAGATCATCTGTGAGAAGCATCGAGAACTAAGAGAGCAGCGGACGGGAGGAAGGGATATTCATGCCACAAAGTGTTTTGATCAGTGTCCTTTTTGAACAAAATCATATTTTCAGCATTTACTTCCCTCTCGCTGGCTAATACATCCAGAAACAATCAGTGCGTGACTTGCTCCAGCATGTGGTGAGTCTGATTGTCAAATCCACTTTAACAGATTGAGAAAAAAAAATATTCTGATCACACGGATTCTCGAATAAAAGGAGTATTCTGCTCAAACTGTAGAAAAGAACCATTTGGCTGGTTAAGTGTAACCATGCCCTGTAACGGTGATGGCCTGATGTGGATCTCCATGTGTGAAGGAAGGACAGTTCTCTCAATGTCAGAGAGCAGTTAGTCTATCTGTACAATATGCAGAATGTGACTCACATATATCGGAGGAATGGGTGGTAGGGAGGCGGACGTCACATTTAGCCATTATTGCTGTAAGATTGTAGTATTTATGCCATAAACACACTTTTCATACATAGGTTACATAGTTACATAGGCTGAAACCAGGACCTGGTGGGCTGCCCCTGTCTTGTGCCCCCACCCACAACGCCAGGCTGATCCTCCTGACCAAGAGGAGTCCTGTCACAGAGTGCCCAGGAGATGGCCATCTAGCCACCTCAGGGCGCACCCGATGCGGTCGTTTAAGGGATGGCAGAGCAGGCACCTGCTTACCTTGATGGCAGGCAGAGGCAGACGGCAGTGTGGGCAGCGAGGGAGTCTGTTCTTACAGCTTCTCACTCCTCTCTTGCGCGCCCTCTTTGATGTCAGGAGCCGGAATATGATGTCATTCCGGCATACTAAACAGCGCGCTGGAGGAGTGAGAAGCTGCCCACAATGGACCCAAGGGAGGCTGAATTTGTCTAAAAAAATTTAATTGTGTGAGTCTGTGTGCTTGTCTCTGCTAGTCTTATTAATTAAATTCACCAAATGCATTGAATACATAATTTATCAAAGCGATAACTTATGTATTCAATGTACAATGTATGTATTAGGAATAGTGATGTCCCGAACGGTTCGCCGAACGGTTTGCGAACAGTTCGCCACGAACGGTTTGCGAACAGTTTGCCACGAACGGTTTGCGAACAGTTCGCCACGAACGGTTTGCGAACAGTTCGCCACGAACGGTTTGCGAACAGTTCGCCACGAACGGTTCGCCACGGACTCATCATTGAGTAAACTTTGACCCTGTACCTCACAGTCAGCAGACACGTTCCAGCCAATCAGCAGCAGACCCTCCCACCTCCTGGACAGCTCGCTAAGAATGCAGCTTCAAAATGGATGCTGTCCAGGAGGTGGGAGGGTCTGCTGCTGATTGGCTGGAATGTGTCTGCTGACTGTGAGGTACAGGGTCAAAGTTTACTCAATGATGAGTCCGTGGCGAACCGTTCGGCGAACCGTTCGGCGAACCGTTCGGGACATCACTAATTAGGAAGTATGTGTGTATGGATGCATGTCTTAGGCAGTATGTGTGTATGGATGTATGTATTAGGCAGTGTGTGTTTATGGATGTACCAATTAAGCAGTATTTGTGTATGGATGCATGTATTGGGCAGTATGTGTGTATGGATGTACGCATTAAGCAGTATGTGTGTATTAGGCAGTATGTGTGTATGGATGTACGCATTAAGCAGTATGTGTGTATTAGGCAGTATGTGTGTATGGATGTACGCATTAAGCAGTATGTGTGTATTAGGCAGTATGTGTGTATGGATGTACGCATTAAGCAGTATGTGTGTATTAGGCAGTATGTGCGTATGGATGTACGCATTAAGCAGTATGTGTGTATTAGGCAGTATGTGTGTATGGATGTACGCATTAAGCAGTATGTGTGTATTAGGCAGTATGTGTGTATGGATGTACGCATTAAGCAGTATGTGTTTAAGGCAGACTTAACTGAAAACCATATTTCAAAATTAAGCATATACAATGCAGTGTATGTGATGTTCAGGCTGTGTACAGTGCAGTGTATTTGATGTCC